AGAAGCGAGATGGTGTGCGTGTCGCGCCTGGTCGCGTGCTCTCGTGGAGTGACTACAAAATTCGCAATTCTTCAATTCCTCACACCACCGCGGGCGCGGCTTCTCCACCGCTCGGAGTAGTGTCTACTGGCGCCGCGCGTGCGCGATTAGTAGGTGGGTGGCGTCGTGGCCCGCGTGGAGGGCCCGCGCGCCCCTCCCGTGCCCCACGGCGTCGGGCGGGCACTCTCGCCCGCCGCCCCGCCACCCTGAGGCGTCGGCGTGCAGCAGGCAGGGAGGACCCATACTGGGGACGCCCCCCTTCTGCCGCTCGCCACGCCAAGGAAAAAAGGCATAGGATCCCATCTCTCTGAAGGGACTCCAATAGCCTCTAGCGCATCCCTTCGCACATGCATGACAACAACAACAACAACAACAACAACATACATGTACATGTCTGAGCGCGCACGAGCGTGCGCGGAGAGACATGTGCATGACTGACTTCTGACTGTCGTTGCGGTCTATCCCTTTCTCGACTGTCTGAGCTTGTGCGTCTTGGGTCCGTGGTTGTGTTTTTGTGTGAAGTGTGAACAGCGGATCGACGGAACAGCGTTCTCGAGCCACCAGCTCGACGCTACAAGAATGATGCTTCCCCTCCTCGATGCAAGTGGTATGTGCCGGCTTCTCGCTGGGTTGAGCGCATCCGTTCACTGCACGGAAGCCTGCCGTCAGGAGCAGCGCAGGCGGCTCCGCTGCCCAACAACGCAGGTGTTGGCGTGCTTTGCAGATAACCGGACCCATGGACTTGCCGATCCGTTGGCCGATCCACTGTCTTGCTTTCGCCAGAGCCGTGATGTTCGAGACAGCTGCCGCTGTGTCTCGCCGGTCCTCGGCCCACCTGTGGAGCTGACTCCTTTTGCAGTCGCCCTTGTGGTCGCCGGTCAGACCAGGTCCTTCACGAGCCCTCTGGTGAGCAGTGCATTCAAAACGCTGGTGAGCAGGTTGCCTTCGGGGGAAGCTGTGATGCTGGCGGTCCTCACGACTGAGTCGACGAACCGAGGTGATCTGAGACCGGGTGGATGGCACAGCGTGACGCGCTTCACAACAACGGCACTCGACAAGACCATGCACTCGTTGGGCCTCCCTTGGCGCGCCCGATACCTCAGCAACTCCGGCTCTCCCTCCGAGGCGGCCGCAGCGTGCAGCAACGAAGAGCTGCGCAACCTCCTCGCGACAGCCTCGGGAACGAAGAAGTTGCCCGAGGGCGGAATGCACAGCAGCTTGATCAAACGCGTCGTCGCGTTCGATCTGCTGCTCAGCTACGAGCAGTCCACGCAAAGGACCCCTGAGCGTGTCCTATTCCTGCGGCCCGACACCGTCTACATTCTTGACGTGGCAGCTTTGGACCCCAATTGCAGCACTGGCGTCTACGTGCGGAACGACCAATTCGCAGCGATGCCGCGTCGCTTGGCGGGCTACTACTTCACTTCGTACGCCACCGATCGGTCTCTTCACGGCGCCGGAGACGAGCCGCCAAACATCACCGTAATTGGTCAAGCAAAGCAGTTGGCCAGCCCCGCGGAGCGAAATCTCGGCGGCCTCACTCTGATGCCGCACTTCCATCTTGCCTACTACGGAGTGCCGTTTGCGGGAGGGGGACTCGAGATGGACCCCAACAACATTGACTGTGCGGGCTACACGCCCCTGAAGCAAATGCTCGCCATTAGGGACTTGCCAAGCTTTGACAGCACGCCTGGCGTGTGCTATAACAAGATGCCAAACAACATCGAGGTCCGTGCGCTGTTGGCGAGGTTCAATGTCAGCGCGTGCACGCCTGCAAGCCTGCACCAGGGCTCGCATCACCTTCAGGCCGCGCGGAAGCGGGAGAGGATACCGCCGCCATCCCACCCGCCGCCCCCCCCGACGGCCCCACTCGTACTCGTCGTCGGACTGCTCGTCATCGCGACGCTCGGGCTTTGCTGGTGCCGCCGCGCTCGTGCCTCCAAGGGCAAGGAAGCGACCGTCAATGTCGGCGCCCCTTCCGCTACGGCTGGCCACAACCGCAGGGCTCTCGAGGAAGTCACTGTCTGAGAAGTCACTGTCTGACAGACCGAGCTTCATGCTCGTGAAGCTGCCCGTGACATCGGGCGCACGGCGCACACCCACGGTGTATCGGTGCATAGGGGCAGGCTGCGCGGGCGGAGAAGGGGGGAGGGAAGAGTAATACATGCTTGGATAGGCATGTCGCCGGGTTTGGATCGGAAGGATGGCTGGGGGAACCGAGGCGCGCGCTCTGGTGAAAGGACACACACAAGGGCGGCTGTACAGGGTGTATGGAGTAGCGCACTGCCGGTGGACTCCGTAGCCGCGCTCCAGCGCGTATTTATTACGGCAGTGTGTTATTTATTCATTAAGCGCCGTAAGTATACAAAATCTCTTCTGCCCGGCGGGCCGACCCTGGAGCTGGACCCTCCGCACACCGCAGTCCGCACATAGAGCTCTCCGTCTCAGTCTCACTTGATCCCGCACACACGCCACGGCTCACGCTCTCCAGTGCAGCTCGCCTCGCCGCTGGTATTAGGGGCCGCGCTGCCGGCGCCGAGCGTCACCTGCCTAGCCACGTCTCTTCCTCTGACGAGAGGAGACGCTCGGCGTCCGGGTAGCCGTCGTACTCGACCGCATCCACACGAACCCTCCTCTGCGAACCCAGGATCTCGACATGCGTGCCTATCTCGACGACAGCGTGCCCGGCCAGCCTCGCCGTCGCCGTAAAGCGCAGCCGCTCCACCGCGCCTCCTGCGACTCCGCGGGCTGCCGCAGCACGTAGTGTCGGCCGTACTCAGCCACGCCCACCGCTCACCGTCTCGACCGCCGCCTCGCTTGGCGGAGGGGCTCGACCCGTCGTTCCGTGACCTACCGCGCCAGCGAGGGGCTCCTGGTGCGCCGCCCGTCGGTCGACGCCCTCGCCCCTGCGCTCCACAGCGACAATCCGCTGACCTCCCGAACGGACCGATTCGCCTCCCGAACGGACCGATTCGCCTTCCCCGGCCATGGATGCAAAATCCCAAGCCTCCGTTCCCCCCTCGGACCCCCCTTGGACGCGTCCCTCCCCTGTCCTCTCGACTGCACTCACTCTTTACATACATAATTATCATCAACAGAGTAGAGCCGTAGAGAGAAGTCTATTCAAGACTTCAAACGGAAAAGTAGAAAAGGATCTGACCTCAGGGCCGATGTGACCAAGCGCTGGTAGCGTACCTCACACCCATGGTCTCACAGTGTGCCGGGAAAACGCTTTCAAGAGGCCGTATCGCGACCTCAACCCCGCGACCTCAACCCCGCGACCACGCCTCGACCTTCTTGGGCAGCAGCTGGTTCGACAGGTCCTCTCCGTGGCCCAAGCAGCCGTCCTTGCCCTCGCCCCAGGTAAAGACGGCGCCATTGGCGGTGAGGGCGAGGCTGTGGCGGGTTCCAGCCGACAGAGTGACGACGCGCTGGTCAGCCTCAAGGCCTCGATCTTCTTCGGCCGCGGCTGGCTCTGCAGGTCGCCGTGGCCCAGCTTGCCAAAGCCTCCACTGCCACAGCTCCAGACGGTGCCTTCGGCGGAGAGGGCCAGACTGTGCCGCATTCCAGCCGACACGGCGACGACGCGCTTGTCCGTCAAGGTCTCGATCTTCTTGGGCAGCAGCCGGTGCTGCGTGTCGCCGTGACCAGCTCCAGACGCTGCCGTCGGCGGTGAGGGCGAGGCTGTGGTCGCTTCCAGCCGACACGGCGATGGCGCGCCGGCCAGCGAAGGCCTCGACCTCCTTGGGCAGCAACTGGGCCTGCTGGTAGCCGTGGCCCAACCGGCCCTCGCCTCCGTTGCCCCAGCTCCAGACGGCGCCATTGGCGGTGATTGCGTGACTGTGCTGCTCTCCAGCCGACACAGCGACGACGCGCTGGCCAGCAAATGCCTCCACCTCCTTGGGCAGCGGCTGGTCCTGCTCGTCGCCGTGGCCCAGCATGCCAAGGGCTCCATAGCCCCAGCTCCGGACAGCTCCGTCGGCGGTGAGGGCGAAGCTGTGCGCGTCTCCAGCCGACACGCTCACGGCGCGCTCGCCGCCCAGCGGGGAAGGGAGGCGTGTCGGCGTGTTGAGCCGCGTCACGCCCTCGCCGTGGCCGAGGAGCCCTGGGAATTCCTCCTCGTCGTCCTCGTCGTTCTCCTCGTCCTCCTCGCCCTCCACTGCCTCATTACCGCACGACGAGAGCCGCCCCTCGCCGTCGATGAAGACGCTGTGCCGTTGGCCTGCCGCCGCCCTCGCCGGCGGGTTGGACTCGCACAGCAGCGCAGCGAAGCACAACCACCGCATGGCGCAGCCCTCGCCCTCTGGCTGCGCCGGCAGCTCGAAGCCACGCTCTTGCGCCCACAAGCGGATGCCCTCCACCGCGAGCGAAGCGTGGAAGAGGAGCGAGACGGCCGCGACGCGCGCGATGTCGGCGGGGTCGCAGCGAGAGAAGGCGCGCACGAGGAGCTCCGTGGGGAGGTCGAGGAGGCGGGCGGGCGGCGGCGTGTCTGGATAGGGGGCGGCGGTGGAGGCGGAGGCGAGGCGGCGCGACGGCGGCGCGGCGGTTCAGACATCGCGAAGAAAAGAATTTTACAAGTTCTCCCCGGACTGGCGCGCACTGGCGCTAACACAGGTACACAGAGAAAGCGAGAAAATAATTCTGAACCCTCGCCGTTCATAAAAAGCACAAGTGAGGGCGAGCCCATCGCTGTCACAGCTGCGGCAGCCGCACAGTAGGCTGTGCCATCTGAGCTTGACCTCATTGCGCGAGAGCATGCCGGACTGCGTCTGGTCAAGCATGCGAAAAGCGCGGCGCATCTCGGCAAAACGCGTCGTGAAATGCGTCTGGAGCACCATGTGGAACTTCTCGAGTTCGAGGGGATCGATGCTCTCGAATGGGTCAGGGCTGGAGGGGTAAGTTGCCGGCGCCGCGTGGACTTCCGGGACCAATTTTGGCTCGGCAGCTTGCACGCGCTTAGTGGTCGCAGTCAGCCGCTTGGTGCGGTAGGAAGCCGTGGCCGTAGCCTCAGGGCGCTGCGCCATTTGCGGGGCGAGCGCCTGGCAAGACGCGCATGGGACGGTTAGTTGGACAATGCAAACAGGGACGCAGAACCGGAATCAGGGCTGTCAGACCTTGTTGATGTGGCGCCAATTCGCCGCGCCGTCCTTTACAGCGCCACGTGGTGACTCTCGGGGGTTGAAAAACAGGTCAAGCTTCTCCTCCGTGAGCACGTGGTCCATGCCCGCCAGCTTGGCGGCCAGCGACAGCTCCCCACGCGACATGAAGTCACTGCCGCTGTAGCGCGCCGCCAGCTGCATGTGGTGCTTGAGCTGCGGAGCAAGGGCACGTCCCGTCAGTGTGGCTGCAGTGCGTCGCATGGGTCGCGGTTGATGCGGTGCGTACCTGCGATCGCTGACGGTTGTACATCATCCGATCGTGGGCGGCCACCACCATCTCATCGCGGTCAAACGATGAGAGAAAAGAAGTGCTGCTCCCGCGCGGGCTGCGCGGGCTGATTGGGCTGCGCGGGCTGATTGGGCTGCGCGGACTGCGCGGGCTACGTGCGCTAGGAGGGCCTAGCCCCTCCAGCGCACTCACGCGCAGCTCGCGCATGTCGCGAAGCGAAACGGTGCACGACAAATTTGTCGTTTCGGCTTTCGCCTTGCCTCGGCCTCTTTGAAAAAAAAGTACGCTGCGCGTGCTCCAAGCGCGGCGCAGAGGCTGGCCTTGGAGTCCAGACAGACCATGACGGCGTCGAGTGAGGGTCGAGGGGAGCGGAAACACATCGTGACGGCTCCGAGCCGGGTAGATAGATGATGGATGCGCTTGTCGTGCGTGCGGGTAGTCCTTCCTCGACCTCGTACGTAGCGGCCGGTGGAGCTGGCGGGTTGGACATGTCCGCCGTGTAACACGATAGCAGCCAGACGCTCGTGCATCACGGCAGGCGCAGGCGCGCCGAAGCAGAGGTTCGCTAGGCAGCTCCACGGGCGCACAAAAGAATTTTACAAACCGGCGTTTGCACTATACCATACTCCCTTGCGCGCGGGCGGCGGTGTGTGTGTGGGAGGGTGGGGCGGCGGCGGCGGCGCGGCGCGGCTCAGAGATGGCGGGAGATAGATCGCCCGAGATCGCGCGCTGAGGCACCTCGGGCATAATCTCGCGCGTATCTCGGACTCGGCGAGGTGGATGGGTTGGGGGCGAGGGGGCGAAAGTGTTTAGTGCGGTGGAGTGATGCGTCATGTGTGTGTGTGTCCGCCTTGCGTGTGTTTCATAACATCGAAGGCGCTACCTCGACGCTCGAGCTCATACAAAAACGATAAGTCCCTCCACGCTAACCGCACTCCTCAAGTGCTGGCCTCCAAAGCGGCGCCATGAAGTGTGCCCCTAGAGTGCTGCAGGAGCGTGTGAGTGTGTGCGGCAAGGGGGCGTTGACGGCGTGGCCCCCTCGGGGAAAGCGCGGTCATGTCCTTTTTGCCTGGCCGCGGGCGGTTGCGCGGGATATCCGGGATGATATCACGCACCGCGGAAAGAGACGACCGGCACAAAGATCGCAGGGCGGGGACCTGTTGCTGTTCCTTTTTACCCATCTCCAGAGAGGTGTCAGTTTTATTTATTTATTTGCGGGATATCTCAAAAATCGTTCAGACCGTCACCGAGCGGCGGACGGCGCCGAACAGCTTGTCAGCTGAGCATTCTCTCTGGCGATCCCTCTCAAAGTGGATAACGATGACTGTCGTGTCGTCGGTGCCAGGCCGCTTCTTGATCTCCTTCACCAGCTCGTTGCAGGCGCGCTGCGCATGCAATCGCGCCGGCCGATGAGTGGTGACGGGGATGGTGTGGGGAAGCATGTGGTGAGAGCACCTGTGCGCCAGAGTTGAGCCGGCCGATGAGGCGGGCGATGGTCCGGTTCTGCAACACGTCGAAGAGCCCGTCCGAGCCGAGGACGAGATATTTGTGCGTGGGGAGGACAGAGAAGGAAGCGCACGCCTAGGAAGTACCGGCGGGACTGCTGTTGGTGTGCGCGGGCGTGTGTCATCGACGTGGCTGTGCACAACGCCGGCAACGAGCTGAGGGCGCGTCCGCCGTCGCGGTCCTTCCACGGGAAATCGCCGAGCGTGCGGCTGGGGATGAGCGAGCCCCAAACGCGCCCGTCCGCAGATATCTCGCCGCCGCACTCAAGGATGCGCGCCCTCTCGGCCGGCTCGGAAGCGCGCTGGTCAGTGGTCAGCTGCTGGTATGTGTGCTCGCCGCTCACGAGCAGCGTGCGGCAATCGCCGACGGAAGCGACATGCAGCTTCGAGCCGCGCAACAATACGGCCTGAGAGATGAACCGTGAATCGTCTGAAAAGACTCGCTGCTGCTTTGGGTGGGCGACCCGTGACTTCGGGCGACCAACGCGCACGTCCCCGAGCGATCGGAAGTTCGGGTGTACGCGGCGCGCCTAAACGTGCAAGGGCACTGGGAGTGGCGAATATATGGCAGCACGCTGCAAGGCCCGATGCCACGCGCATCTCTTGCTCTGCAGCGGCGAACGCCTTCGCAAGGGCCGCAGCGGGCCTCTCCCGCCACGCCTAGCCGTTAAAAGCAATATTGCGAAAAAAGCACGTGGCGCCGCCTCGGTCTGCCAAATGTCTCGGAGGTCGCCTCCTCATCATGAGCGAGGAGAAGGTGAAGCCGGGTGGCTGCGAGCGAGGAGCAGTCGGAGCCGCCATGCCCATCGTACACCGCAAAAAAGGCGTTCGACGGAGGGATCGGCGAAGAGGGGGTTGGGGAAGAGCCGCGGGAGGCTGGGGCCGACGCCTCGTCGCGCATTCTCTCGCTCCGGCGGGAGGCACGCGATAGATCCTCGTTGAGATCGTACCGCACAGCATACCGGTCCTCGTTGGCGTGCGCCTCGAGACAGGGAAGATGGCAGCGGTGGAGTGCGGAGTGAAGCGACGGTGCCG